GAACAATAACATATAATCGAGGGATAATTACAGTTTTGGTCCCCCAAGTTTGCACGTTTTTCACTTTTGGTCCCCTATTTACCGCCGTCAACAAAATGCACACTAATGTTGTCACATTTTAACATATTTAGTCCCTCCGTCTATTTGACCGTTGAGAAGTAACGGTCATGGGTTGAATTTGGGGTAGTTGTTTGAGAAAATTGCAATAAGATTCCTATATTCTTTCAAATATTCTAAAAACCCCTAAAGTTATATCCAACCATAATTTAACCCCAATTTCATCAATTAAACAATTTTAACCAATGACCCCGATTTTTCAAAATCGGGTAATCCGACTTTGACTTTCCTTTTAACTCAGTTGACTCTTTTTTCGATTGATCTTTTTTTGCCGTTGTTGACCGATGTTAAATATCGGGTTAACAGCGTTGACATTTTTTTATTGATTTTTATTTAAATTGTTGAGTAGTGGGAAAAATATAATTTAAAAAGAAAGTCAAAGATGATAATCGACGAGAAAAATAATACCATAAAAGAAGTCAAAATAAAAGAAAAAAGGAAAACGTCAACGCAGCTCAATGACGGAAAATTTATAAGACAAATAAAAAAAGATAATAATTAACGGCCGGTGTTAACCGTTGTACTGGAGTTCCAAATTACTCCGCACATGCCTAATTCATCTTCTTCATATTTTTTTGAGAAGAAATTTGGGATGCATTTGGCGATTTCTCGAAAAACAAATGAGGGGAAGAAATTACGGATTTCAGAATTTTTATAAAATTGTATTTAGGCCCCAGAATTGTAGATATTACGATACTAGATATTTATACAATATTATTATTGTATTATTCATTAATAATATTGTGTTGATCGGAAAAAAAAAAAGTCACAGGAAAAGTTCCAAAAATAGAAAAATATAAAAGTTAACATTGTTAACCGAGAATACAATGTCGGTGAACGACGTAAAAAACAGTATTAAAAAAAGTCAATGCCGAAACAAAAAGTTAAAAAAAAAATAATGGCGGTCAACGGTCAGCGGTTATGGTGGTAAAAATGGGGGTCGTTTGTCAAAATTGATTAAATGATGAAATTGGGGTTAAATTAAGGTTGAAAAATATTTTAGGGGTTTTTATAATATTTTGAAAGAATATAGGGGTCTTATTGCAATTTTCTCAAAGAAAAACCCCAAATTCAACCGTTGACCGTTACCTCTTAACGGTCAAACAGACGGAGGGACTAAATGTGTTAAAATTTGACAACATTAGTGTGTATTTTGTTGACGGCGGTAAATAGGGGACCAAAAGTGAAAAACGTGCTAACTTGGGGGACCAAAACTGTAATTATCCCTATAATCGACGTCCATGATCGCCATATTTGTCGTCCCACTCCTCTTTTAAACTGTTTGCCCAATTCACAACCATAGGGTTGCAGTCAACTAAATAAATATTTTCAAGAGATGTACCGAACGTGAGAGAGATCTCTTTTAACTTGTAGCAATGTTCGATGCCAAGAACCTTAATAGCAGGGAAGCAGAAATTTGTTGTCACAAACTTCCAGTGCACCAGATCGGTGTCTTCAATTTGAAAGCTTTTGGAATTCGTGGTCATGAACCTCCCACTTCGGGCCTCGAAAGGCATAGCATTGCAATACCAGGTCTGTAAGATTTGGCAATGAAGAAATTTTTTTCATTTCTTCCCACAGATATCCTAAGCCGCTCAAAGTTAACTTTGTAAGAGTTGATGGCAAGTCTAAAAGAGGACCAAATCGGGTAACAACCTGAGCCTTGAAAATAGGATTTGTAATTTCACATTCTAATTCTTGTAGTTGATGCAGATTGTAAATGTGATCAAAGCAACTGAAGGGCTTAGAAGCAACCGGAACTAGTTCGATTTGGATTGTTAACTCCTTCAGATTAGGGATTTTTTCAAGCACATCTTTGGTACAACTTTGAGGACCGACACCAGTTAGAGTTGTGAGGTTTGATAGGAGGGATCCTTCACAAGGATGTGGTAGGTCTCTTCCCCGGATCTCGAGAGACTTCAATTCTTTCATATTCCATATCTCAATAGGCAGATAATATGGATTCCCAACAGATTTTACGATCCGGTACTGATGATGAACAATCAAGTACTGAAGGTTGAATAGTTTGGAAATGAAAGTAGGGAGGTTTCCATCGTAAGTGAGGGCGAGGTATCTTAGCTGCAATAGTTTCAACACTTCCATTGGGAACTCATAGGATTTAATAGAAAGAGCTTCCAATACCCTGAGCAACCTTAATTGTTCCAAACAAAATGGTACAGGATATTGATGATATGGACCGGTACATAGGAGAGAGCGTACCGTTGAAGCAGATGCAATTGAATCGTGCGCATCTTCAATAGCAAGTAGAACATTATTTCGGATGCACAATCGGCGCAGCTGGTAGTTTATACCTTCTTTTGGTAGAGCATCGGCAAGACAATTGAATGCATAGAAAAACTTATTCTTGGCAGCTTCTTTGTTACACAAGTACCAAAATGATGAATGAAGGTGATATATAAACTTTTCTTCATTGTAGATGATAACATTATTTGAAAGAAGCGCTCCTACATAAGCAAACGTATAATCAGTTGAAGTCATGGTTGATTTTCGGTTAAGAAATCCTTCAGCACTCCACAAGTCGATCAGTTGGCGCCTCCACACCATATAATCTTGTGGGAAAGCTCCTAAGTAGAGAAAGCATGCTTTTAAATGTTGATCTAAGTAGTCATAGCTTGGATATTTGATCATATGCATCCTTGTAAACCGAATTTTGTTTCTCATTAGCTACCTGGTTCCAGTACACCGAAGTCTTGTCAGTTTTGGAAAGGATGTGGGCAACTGTAACTATTGTAAGTGGAAGACCTTCACAATTCTCCGCAATCTTCTTTCCAGATTTCTCGAGTTCACGAGGGCAAGGCATTGCATCAAACACCTTGTGACGAAGAAGTTCCCAACTTTCTTTCTTATCAAGGAAGGGTAGTCTGTGAGAATTCAAAGGGTGGACACATTTACTTACTTCTGTTAGCCTAGTAGTCAGCAATGCTACACTTCCATTTTTGTCGTCTGGAAATACGTTGGCGAACTCATAACAGAGATCCGTGTACCATACATCATCCAACACGATCAAGTATCTCACTTCACTTAAACTTTCGCACACCTTCCATTTCAGCTCATGTAATAATTCTTCTCCTTTCGTAAGCCATATTATTTCATCAATGTCAGCATTATTCAATTGTGTGAGAATATCCACCAAGATGTCCGCTAAACGATATTTAGGGCCTATTGTCACGAACACAAGCCTGCTATAATGACTCACAATGAACGGATCTTGAAATAGTTTCTTGGCAATAGTAGTCTTACCAATGCCAGCCATCCCATCGAGCGACATAACTATCAATTCAGAGTGTGGGGAAATAAGCCAATCTCTGAATCTCATAAATAGATCGGACAATCCAACCATGTTAGACTCATTTCCACCAAAATCAGTTATTGTCGGGACAAAATCATCATCTTCTTCGGGAGAAGGGTTGCGTAACTCATGAATGTAGGCCATCCTCATAATGTTCACCGTTTCGATAAAGGAATCGACATCTTGCTTTATTTCCTCCACATCTAATGAGTATACCGTTAATGGTGGATGATCACTCCCAGCTTCTTCGGATTGTGTTGAGTGGAACTGATTTAAGACATGAGATTCTATTACATCTTGAAATCTGTATACTGCATCTATCATTTCCGCCTCCAAATTTTTTACCATCTTCATGTTAATGGTGCTCCTCCATTTGTCGAATTCTCCGACAGGTTGTATTGTATTATGTTTTTTTTTTTTTGCAAAAACCACCCCTGTATAATCTAAAATTGCTAAAAATCATCATGTTAAAAGAATTAGCAATAGCCCCGTATGAAAATTAGTCAAAGGCAACAAGGGCCCTGCCAGCTTATCGTGTGCTCCACATGCGGATTGTGCGACTGGGTGTATTTTAAACCCGAAAGGACCAAAATGCCCTTCTAATTATAAATTTCAAAAATTACAGATTCGCCCCAAAATTCTATATTCAAAAAAATTCAATTCAATCCTTGACCTTTTCAAAAAAGCCATCTTCTCCAAAATAAACAAAAATGTTCACTCAACCAGCTTCACACCATCTCCGACGTCTTCGTCATCAGAAAACAACAATCTCGATTTCTACCCCGAAACGGCATCGTCGGCCTCACCTCCAACCAGCACTCGAACTCCGAAACGGCGTCGCTTGGAAGTCGGCAGCACAAAATAGATCTAAACCGGCTCCAATTCGTTCTGGGGTTCGAGGGTTGGCAGCTTACCTCCCAAAACTCGATTCTAAATTATGTGAACCTTGATTCGTACATGAGTGAGGTCGACTCCAAAACCACCTCCACCACAGCCGCCGCCATCATAACCACCGTACCTCCCTCACGACATCAAGATCCAGACGTTTGCAATTGCAGGTAGACGACGGCTCCCGAATGTGTGCAACGGTTGATGCACCATTAGAGAGCTTTCATGGAGAGTAGTTGTGTTGGGGGTGGGGTTGTTTGACGGAAAACAGCATGTGCACCGCACATGACAGAGAAAAGATACCCCCATCCATGTAAATGTAGAATTTTAAGAGGAATTTCATAAATACGCAACCCTCCATTTCTCGTTTTATTTGATGTTTGATATTGTGTTTCGAGGCTGCATATGCTTATAACAATCCTCGATTTTCTTTTCATTTGCTATGTGTTTTCTAAGGTGAGATTTTGCTCCGCGAAAACTGTCAAAGGGGAGTATTTTACACCTAACTTCAAGTAATGAAACAGAGGGCTTTTTTTAAGTTCTTTGAAATATGAAATCAAGAGACTAAACACGGCTTTTTTCCGATAGGAAAATATGACTAACTAGCATATATGTTCCTTATACTTCGGTTATCGTATGTATGTAGTTATCTTTGATTTACCTTTTTTGGCAGAGACGAGTAAAATTTGTAAATTCGACAATATGTGCGACACACGTGCACCTTTCTTAATTGCGCAATAGTCTTAATTTTAACCTCACAACATATAACTGATGAGGATGTAATAAAAAATCAATCAAGAAAAATTAAACACACCAAATAACATTAACAAAATATTCAAACACGCTTTGATTTGTCCGTCTCAAAACTGAAAGTACGTTCCTCCGATTTCTTGATGCAAACAATGTCGATGTAATTTCTCTCGTGATCAATCAGCCTACGGCTCTCGAGACGATACACCTGTAATAAAGGAGAATGTTCAATGATTTCGGATGTTAATATTTTTTTTTAATCCATAATAGCAAATTCATTAATCAGTAATCAAATAAATTAATTTGTAATATAATAAAGCGTAAATTACGAAAACCTCCCTGAACTTAGGTTAAATAACGAAAAACACCACCACCTATCCGTAATAACCGAAATCCCATTCTGATTAACTGTTAACCGAGTTTTTTAACAGAAAATTTGTACAATCTATTATACCTTTTATTAAATAGGTGAGAAATAAAAGAAAATATGTGCAATTGTGTAAAGTCTATTTCTTGGAATTAAAAAAAATACGTGAAAACTCATACTGTAAAGGGTTGGTGTAAGACGGAAACAAACCTCAGGGGTTTTTGGTAATTACGAATATGTGGGTTTTTTTCGTTATTTAGCCTAAGTTCACGGAGTTTTCGTAATTTACTCTATAATAAAATCTATCTCTGTTGTAGCAAATTCAAACTGTTTCATCCAAACGCAACTTATATGATCCTATTATATGTGTTATCAACCATATATCTATATTGTCTATTTCTCTTGTTTTGTAGGAGAATGTATGCATATATACTGAGTATATCTTTGGTAATATTCACTGTATGATGAAATTATAATAAAATATATATATATGTTAATTCAAATTTAATACTAAAAAATTTAAGGTTGTTTAATTCCTTTTACCTGAATGGGCATTGACTAAAATATTAGTATTTTCGATAGATATAAAAATTTAACGACTAACCTTTTGAAGAATCAATGATATGGTAGAGTCACTCACGGTTTGGTGTTCCCATTGTTACAGTGAAGAACGAACAACAAGTTCTAACAAACGTTCACGACCAGCATATTTGTCGTCCCACTCCTCTTTTAACTTGATTGCACATTTCACAGCCATAGGGTTGCATTCGACTATTTTAATGCTTAGAAGAGATTTACCAAATGTGAGAGGGATCTCTTTTAACTTGTAGCAATGTGCGATGTGAAGGCCCTGAATCACAGGGAGGCATAGACAATTTTGAAATGTCCATTGCTCCAGATTGATGTCTTCAATCTCAAGATATAAGAGACTTTGGAATTCGTTGTCACGAACCTCCCATTTTGGGCCTCGAAAAGCATAGAATTTCAGTTCGAGATGTGTAAGATTTGGCAATGAAGAAATCTTTCTCATTTCTTCCCACGGAGATCCTAAGCCACTCAAAACTAACGCTGTAAGACTTAATGGGAAGTCTGAAAGAGGAACAAGTGGGGTAACAACCTCTGTCTTCAATGTAGGATTCATAATGTAACATCTTAGTTCTTGTAGTTGATGGAGATGGGAAACGTGATCAAAGCATGTCAAGGGCTCTGTAGCATCAGGAGCCAGCTCGATATCAATCGATAACGCCTTCAATTTAGGGATTTTTTCGAGCACAGATTTGGCACAACTTTGAGGACCGACACCACCTAGTTTTAATAGGTTTGGTAGGAGAGATCCTTCACAACAAGGATGTGGTAGGTCTCTTCCGCAGGTGTAAAGATACTTCAATTCATTCATATTCCATATCTCAATAGGCAGATACAATCAAGTGCTGAAGGTTCCAGAGTTTGTAAATGGAAGAAGGGAGGTTTCCACTATAAAGGAGGGCGAGGTATCTTAATTGAACTAGTTTCAGTACTTCCATCGGGAACTCATAGAATCTACTAGAAAGAGCATCCAATACCCTCAGCAACCTCAAATGTTCCAAAAACAGCGGTACTGGATATTTATGAAAATAACCAGTACAAAGGAGAGATCGTACCTTTGAATAAGATGCAATTGAGTTGTGCACATCTTTGATGGCAAGTAGAACATTATTACGGATGCACAATCGGCGTTGGCTTTCTATACCTTCTTCCCGTAGAGTATCGCCATGGCAATTTAAGGCATAGAACAACTTGGTCCTGGCAGCTTCTTTGTTACACAAGTACCAAAAGGACGAATGACACTTGTCGGAAACGTTTCGGGGTCATTTCCGTAAATATTTCAAAGTTTCGAGGATGTTCCTGGTAGTAATGGAAAAAATAGAAATGCGTTTCCACCAAATAAACTGTTCCGCCTAAACTTCAGGTAATGGAATCGAGCTCAACAAATGATCACCTACCATTACTCTTCGTCGAGAAAGATTTATTGCTCAAAATTGTCGGGACTTGCGCCTTTTTTTTCCAATGAAAATATAACTTACTGTTGCATTCTGCTAAATCAAATAATTAGCAACTAACTAAAAAACCTTAGTCAACTAAGCAAATAACTCAATCGACTAACTAAAAAAAAAATGTCTATTAACTAAAATATTAGGATGAACATCAAACAAGACAAGACGAGAAGGAAGTTGAGTCGAGTATTGCACACGAAAGTTGAAGATGAGAATTAGTTGAACAACATACGAAACACGAGAACTCAAAACCAAAACTTTCACCGTCTAACTATAACTCAATATGCAAGCTTCGTATTAACACAATACGACACACATGCACTTTTTTAATAACTAGAATTCCTTGTCATGTAAAAAATGAGAACAACTTATCAGTTATACTTACCAAACAATGCAAATCTGATATTATGCAATAAATAAATATATAGGATGACTTGCTTAGTATTTAATCTAAATTTTCTAGGAATAACAAAAATGTAGATTAAAATAAAGATGTTAATAACAGAAATTTCTTATGTTCTCGCTGATTAAGTACATCATCCTGATAATGGTGCTTAACCGTCTTGAGACTGGCAATATTTATAAAAAATAACGTACCTATGATTACAACAACTCCAACACCAAAAAGGTAGACACTGCATGCGTAAATATCAAAGTACAATTGTAAATAAAATTGATGTCAAAAGCAAATTTCAGAAAGAAAATAAAAATAAAAATAAACGTAGTCAAACTCAATAATAGAGGATCAATCGATCATGAAGCGAACACGCCTTGGGCGCTCATCTTAGGCGTTCACATTTTCTTGCGAAAAAAAAAGCCTTACAAATCGATTTGTAGGGCTTTTTAACATGACATTGGTTCCGTAATCGACCTACCCAATGCATATTACACATAAAAGAGTCGGAATTACATCAAAAAATCGAAGCCCAACCCTTCTTCAAGCTTGATTTCGAATTTTCGAATTTTTTTTTTATGCTATTTGCAGTTTTGGGGGGTTTTTGGATATTTTTAAAAGTTTTGGGGGTTTTGTTATAAACCGCAAATATCAATTTTGTGACCGTAAATAGCATTAGCATTTCATTAAAAAAAAAAAAAAAAAAAAGTGCAATCAGCTGCTCTGAAAAATGGATTTGAACAAATTTCTTCAATATCTCAACCTTAATTCACACTTTTCTCTTCAATCTTTTCAGCAATCCTTACAATATCACAACCATAACTCAATTTCTATAGATTCTTGCGATTTTAATTTTGCGATTCAAGACCGATTCAAGGAGTTTTTTGACTGGATTTTGCGATTGATAATGATGAAGGCAATCGTTTAAAATTGGTGGATGAGGACGGTTTAAGTGACATTGATCTTTAAAATTATAAGTGCTCGAATATTTTTACAAATTAGGTATTTGAACTTGAACTTAGGGCCCATTTCGCTAAAGTTTATTTTAAACAGCTGATAAACTCTTACATCTGATAAGTTGTTTTAAGAGTTGATAAGTTGTTACGTTTTATTTTTAGAATTAATTTTTTCAAGTGTTTAGATAATAATGTTACAAGATATTTTTACTCATTATTATTATCTTAACTAAATAGGCGGGGTAAATGTACTTTTTAAAAAACTCCAACAACTTATATTTTGAATTTTTAAAATCTTTTTTAAAACAAATACCTAACACATAGGAAGAGCTTATAAGCTCTTACATATCTTATAAGCCTAGACAAACACCACCTTAGATGATGTTATTTGATGAACAATTATATTTTTTGTCCTATTTTATAATAAGATGTTGAAACTTGAATTTAAATCTATTTTGAAATGAGTAGTTTAACTTAAAAATAATAAATTTTATATGTTTATAATATTTTTATAATGTAGATATATATATTTTTTTACTATTTTAATAGTTGGTTATATATCTTACGATACGATACGATAATAATGATACGGTACGAGATATGGAGCAAAACAATACGAGATATTTTTACGATCCGATACCTGCAACACTGTTAAGTGTATATTTTTACACTTTATCGTACCTTTTTATTTGGGCTTTTGGTGTGTTTTAATGATAATTGGTGCTTAAAAAGTTGATTTATTGTATTTTAGGTACAAATTGAAGAATTGGAAAAGTATGGGGTCAAAACTGCAATTTTGGCAAAAATATGGGTCAAAAGTGAAAATATCAAAATTCTGAAGAAACAAGGCTCGGACCCCCGTCCCAGTTTTAGTGCAAATTATGGGACCCCCGTCCCATACCCCGAAGTTGCGCAGTAAAGGAATTTTAATTGCACAAGGAAACTGCCTTCTTCCCCAAGTTCTTCACCCTATATAAGACCAATCCAAGCACACAATTAGGGATCTTTTTACGCAATTTGGAGAGCAACAAAGCAATAACGAAGACGAAGAATTCGAAGACTCTAAGCATAGATTTATCGTCTATGATTTATTTTATTTGCGTTTTTGCTTTAATCATGAGTAGCTAAATTACTTGTTTCTAGGATTTTATTTGGAACCCTATGTGGGATTTATGAACCCAATTCTATGATTTTATGCAAGTTTTAATTCCGGATTATTTCTTCTACTTGTTTTATTAAGTTCATGAAACTAGCCACTTTATGCGCTTTTATGTTATTGTTAATCGCATGAATCGGAAGATCGGGTTAATAATTAGAACTGTGGTAGAAGAGCCTTTGTGGTATTAACATAGGAATATAGTTAATCTCTTAGGTACCATTATGAGATTTCGCTTATGCTTGTTCTAGACTAAGGGATCTCTAGAGTCGACTGCAGCTGAAGCTGCTGCGTGTGCCAGGCTTCACTAAACCTTTTTTT